CACCGAGACTATGCTGGCCACCAAGTGAGGTTTCGTCAGCGTCTAAACTACTTGTGCGTTCGAGTCGCCGGCTAGTATAACGATGTCCGTGTGTCGTCTACTTTGGAGGCGGTTGGTGAGCTGATGGTAGAATTCGTTTTTTTTGTGTCGGGACTGTAGTCCGTCGGCGCATAAGCCACGATGGCCAACAGACAAAGCTTTTTTGTGCCATTACGAGATGCACTCACCGATCCCTTTAGATGGATCGAGCAGAGTCTATTATTGATTGGAATCCAGTCGATTGAAACTGCTTCTGCACGTGTACTTAGTGCTATCCCCACACCGGCCTGACCAGCGGCCTCTGCCATCGAATCTCCGGAGAGGCGGAGGGTGAACGAGCTTGCAGAATCCGGAGACGGTGAAACGAGTTGCAGTACGGTGCTCGAATCCTGTAGCCGTGTCTCAGTAAGGCAGCAAGCGTCCATGGAAAGCGTTTCCAGTGTGCGAGTGAGTCTTGCCTGAGCTCCAGCTTGCATAAGTGTTCGAACGTTGAAAGTCCATAAATTCATCTGCTACGGGGGCACGAGTAATTTTTTCGGAATAACCTGATTGGAAGCTTGTTTCTTTCGTGTGGGAACAAGACTATGGTTTCTGCTGTGGTCTTGGGCAACACACTGTTGGAGACTCAAAATAATGGGCGGTAAACCAAGAATAGGAAAGTTCAGTAACTGAGATCGGGAAAGAGTGTGATTTGTTGGTGTGGTAACGCGGAAATCTGTGGAGCCGACCGCCAGCACCTCAGTCAAAGAGCGCATGGTTAGTTAGAGCCAAAAATCGGAATTGTACAATGTGTGTTTCATAAGTTGTGTGGGCATGTTACTTCCCGGTTGTCCTAGCCGAAGAAGAAGGATAACCTCGGGGTCCCCACCCGAAGCATTGACTAGAAAGCCTGACCTGCAAGACAACAGGACGGCACTCAGAGTCCGCAATCCATTAGGGGCCGGTGTCCGGTTCATCGGATCTTACGCCCTTCGGACGAGATCAAACGTCCAAGGTGCCCAATACACCTCGATGCCCAATAGAACTGGTGACCGTGTCACGACCATAAAGATGTGAGTGGTTCGTGCACCTCTTCTTGGTTGGTTTAGAATGAGGGGTTTTAGCCATCTCCCCTGGGTGAACTGCCAGTTGTTCACCGACCTGGTTATAGCCCCTAGATTTCGGCTTTTCATCCTCTCACTTTGGTGGGAAAAACATCTCCGCCACGAGAAGGCAGTGACTAGGGCTTCCTCAGCAGAGGCTATTTGAGACGCTTGGTCATATAGGAGCATCTCATGAGGTGCAAGGGAGGGTGACCAGCCGCAACCCAAGACACTCACCCCCGACCATACTGAGGCTTTCAAGGAGCTACATGATTGAAGCTTACACCAGTCTGCTGATCACTGACTCATTATATTTGACACCGTATCTGTCAGTTGCCATGATGAACCACAAAACGGGATGACTAGCACACTCTTTTTTGAACTGAGTTTGTTGTTTCAAGTTCACAGGTGTAGGATGCTTTTGTTATGGCTCCATCGATATTTTCCAACTTGTGAAACGTGTGGCACCGTCGTGACATCCGACTGTCCATGAAGGGTCGAGTTTATGCTGCAGCAGTTTGGTTAGTACTGATATTCGGTTCATATGCTTGGCCATCATGAGAACAATATAAAAATAGATTGTCGGTGTTTGAACATTGTTGTCTACGTCGCATTACACAAGTCTGGTGGGAAAACCTGACGAGCAATGCTGAAGTTAAGCTTAGAGTTTTAGGTAGTCGCGGTCGTCCACTGCAGCAACATCTATAGTTTGCGTTGGTTGTTGGATGTATTACGCATGTTATCAGGTAGGTTAGCACTGTGAACAATTTTCGCCGATGCAGATAGCGGTTTGAAAAAGGTCAGGTCAAACTAGGATACTCGGTCTCGTTAGGCTCCGTGGATGGAGACCCCGAGGTCATGGAAACCGGTGATTAGAGACAGTGAGTGATATGGTCGTCTGTCGCAAACAGTGGTGCTCATGCATCTAATCATTATTCTTGCGACCCTAGACTATATGAATTCTCTATTTTCACTATGACCCTGATCTCAACATTCAAACCTTCATTCTTCGCTTTTATCCAAATGGGCTTAGTAACTGATAACTAGACTTGACTGATACTTGATATCGTGCATTATTCCGAACAAAGATAATATATCTGGAACACATTTTATTACAGCAGTTCAAGTAAAATTCCCCTTGGGAGTACCGCTCATTTGGCATTAATACGTAGGCCACTCATGGAAATTATTGTCCTCACGTAGTTACATCCAGAGCAACGGATATTTTGCACTCCAGTGAATAAAGATGTTTTTCTTTGTAGTCTCGTCCATGGATATACATTATTTACGGGCTATAACGTGTGTAAAACTTGAGCTTTTTTATACTTCCCAAGTTTAAAGTCTACCGAGTGAACTGTGGTCTGTGAGTGAAGACGATGTATGAAGGCTGTACAGTTTTTTCATTATTATTGCTTGTTTCACAGGATTACTTATAAGTAACTGTGAAACCAATCGTAAATTAGTGACCAACCGAAAGAAAGGTTTATTTATGGTACAAAATAATAATTGCAACTATGGGTTACCATTTAGGCTTTTAATAATAAAACTGTCTAACATGCTCGTCTTTCTATTTTCATTTATTTATTGTACGTATAATAAAAGTTTAGGCGGTCTCCAAAGCAATGGACGCAGTCAATTGGAACTATTACTAAATGGGGCAGCTGCCTTAACTCCTGTGTTTGAGGCCTCATGCTTAATTGGATCAAAGCATTTCTCTACATCGGACCTTATCGGTTCGTGTTTCTGATTCGATTTCCGGTCCTATGGACGTTACCCGCGGAGTTCTACAAGGATCTGTGCTCGGTCCGCGACTTTTCTTGTAATTCATAAATGACCTACCGAAGGCTCTGAGGCCAAATTCATTACTGTTTGTAGATAACGCCACAATTTGGAATACAGTAACGCAACCAGCGGGTTCGCTGGCACTCCAAGAAACGCTGAAATCAGTTCATCTTTGGTCTCTTTTGAACGATATTTAATTCAGTGTGTCAAAGTGTGGGGTTCTGTCTATTCCCTAAAAGGGGAGATTTTTGTATTTCCTCGGAAATGAACAACCGCCACATGCCTCAAACGAGAAGGACCTGGGCGTCATCATTCAAGAAAACTTGAACTGCTCAGTTAACTGCGCCAAGGTGTCGAACGCAGCTGTAAAAATCTCAGTTTGCATAGGCGGGTCTTTGACCGGTTGGACTCGACGTTTTTCGCCCGTTTACTATCAGCACATATTCGCTCACAGAGTACGTACGCTATCCAGGCATGGAATCCATGGTTATAGCGTGATTGTAAAATGCTGGGGCGTCCACAAAGGATGACCACCGAAATGGTTAGGAGGGTGATTTTGATCGAAACCAGTGCTTTGAAACGGACGACTCAAAAACTCCCAAAGCTATGCAGCGAATGAATTGTAAAAACGGAAGTATATATTGCCTCTACACTGTTGCATAAGGAATATTGCTTGTATTAGTTTGGATCACAAGTGGCATGGATGAACAAACAGGAAAACATCTACATTTCGATGTCTGATGGACAGAATGCTTTCCATTTTTACTGGTGTGATCCAGAAAAAGAACAACGTATTATCAGTAATATGAACGATGATGGAAGATCAGGAATGTTTTGCGAAGCCTAGTTAGTCAGTGTCTAAAAGAGATCGCTACACCTGATTGTGTACAAGATTTCATTGCGTATATTAAACCGCTTGGATTGGTTTTACTCCAAATATTGAATAAACAATCAAATTGCAGTGATTCAAGCAAGGTGATGTTGTTGCCTACCGGCCATGAAATGAAAATAATCGTTGTTATACCGTCGGTTGGATTAAGGGCCAGACCGCAGCCCAGATATAATGCCAATTGTGAAAAGCTTGCTTGCCTTTTGTGTAATGATTCAGTGATATGTTAGTCAAAGAATGAATTACTCATGTGCGAATACTGAAGAAGGAAAAATAACTGTTTTTCTGTGGAATATGCCAACTTGTTGTATCAAGATCCTCAAACAAAATGATTGATTTAGGTAGTAACTATAGGAACCGAGCTTGGGGTCCTATACTTTTTTCCCATATACGCATTCCTTTGCTGCATTTCTGCTCTAATTAAAACAATTTCGTCCCGGAATTCCAAATGCTGTATTGCTCTGTGCATTTGATTTTTCAGATTATCTTTTCGATACAAGGTACCGAATTGAACTATTCCTAAAACTGTGCAGCTCATTGGATGCTCGATATTTACTTCCCTGTTGTAATTTATTTTCTCTTTCTCGGGGAAGAGCGTTCGCTATCATTTTTCAATAGTTTTCGGTTGTAATGTATTTTGCTGTTAAATGATAATGGTATGCAGTGCAAAAACTTGTGGGAACTGTGTCATAGAAACGAGACAGATCTCTCAACACAGAGACCAAACTTCTGTGGTCTATAGATTCTTGCTCAGATTGCTAAAACATGTATTTTTAAATGAGATGATTAAATGATCTTATACATTTATATATTTCTGTTTATTATAGCATAGTATATGATGTATACGTTGTATTGTTTTATCTTGTTATCATACTATCTGCTAATGTTCATCCTCAACATTTTCCTAGATCTTGAAAAGTACCAAACATCAATAATGATGACATTTCCCATCGTCGCCTTTGCTAAAGATTAATTCGGATCACATTGCTTTCTGAATACAACTTGCTCAGCCACAAGCATAATTTATTCACGCGTCTATTATTGTCCACGTAAAAAAGAAATTAAACCACACGCGAAATAATGATCTTCATTCGGAAAAATCGCATACACCTATTTCAGTTTATTGTGTTGATTTACTGTTTAAGTTGACAATCATAACAGGCTATTTACATCATCTTTGTTTATCTATTTTCTCCTGCTCTGCTTAGTTTGTGAATTGTGCTCGCTGTGAAGAAGAACAAAATCTAGTTACCATACAGTATCGAGGCAAAATTTACTACCGTGCTTGCGAGGTAAGGAAAGGTAACTAATTACCTATCTATTCATATCATACAGGATATCCAGAAGAACAAAGAACTATTAACATACTACGGATCCGAAGTAAGTCATTATACACCTAATCCGCCGAAAAACAACATCCATCAAAGAGCCTTTACTTCTATCAGTGATGTGACTACATGTATGTACGGGAACCACGGCCGGCTAAGATACCGGAGACAATTCTCAAAACTGGCTCGCGTTTCTGTGTCGCCGAATGGACAGCGACCAACCGTATGGGAAATATACGTTTAAAAAATGATATAAGGCTTTGAGCTACTGTGGTGACAAAACGACCAGGCCTAGCGATTGATGCATTATTAAAAAGACGGTTATCTGTAGCATCCAGGGCTAAAATCTCAGCCAGCTGACCCTAATAATCGGCTCTCGTGTTCCAACGGGACGAAGCAGAACAATGCGCGTTCGATCCAAACAAGCCTCTCACATCACCATCACTTTGACTCGATAAAGAATAACATACCGACAATTTTGCGACGATCCACTGGTTGCTTGCGTGCCAAAATAACGATTTACTTTGCACAGTGGTGAACCCGAGGGAGCGACGTATGAACATGTGATGGCGCTGTTGCTATCACCACAATGGAGCTCACTGACTTCAACTTTGCGCGGACCACGGATTGTTCATTTAATGCACCAACTTCCCGCACACTTAACGAAATAAGCGTCAGAAGTTGTAAGTAGGAAAATGTAGAGAGATGGAGAAAGCAGCGGCTATTGGTAATGGTAGGACTCTTTTCCGTCTAATTAGGATACCGGCCCATGGAAAATAGGCGTAAGCAAAGTAATGAAGTTAGTGGAACTGAAGTTATGCGAGACTACCTTAGCAAGTGGCCCTCTGCCCTCTCTCTCCTTTTCTCTCTAGCTTTGCTATGGATTTAATTCTTGAAAAAGACCCATCCTCGTGCAAGGATAATGGCATCGATTTACTCCCAGGTGACAAGCTGTCTGATTTAGAATATGCAGACGACATTGTGCTGCTAAGCGAAAATCCAGCTAAGTTGCAATCTTTTCTAGAAAGTTTCAGTGCTAGCGTAGCCATGTTCGGTATGCGTTTTCAACCTTCAAAGTGCAAACTTTTACTTCGAGACTGGGTCGGTCCAGCACCTCAGTGAATAAGTTTTATTATTTGGGCAGCTACATCTCACCCGGTGGACGCATCATGGATGAAGTGTCAGCTTGCAAACAGAAGGCTCAGGTGGTATTTGCTAACAGGAGACATTTGTGGCGCCGTTGCGACATCTGGTGCCAGTGAGGGGTCGAGCACATGCTCCAGCAGTTCGGCCAGTTCTGCTATATAGAACAGAAACTTGGCCAAAAAGGAAAGAAGGCAAAAACAGACTTTCACTGTTTGACCGTCGCTGTCTACGCAGCATTGCACGAATCTGGTGGGGCAGTCGGACGAGGAATGCTGACATCAGGCGCAGAGTTTTAGGCAACCGCGGTTGCCCACTGGAGTAAGTGGTCGACCTCCATAGATTACGTTGGTTGGGGCATCTGTGACGCATGTCACTCGAAAAGTTGCCACCACTTCCCGCGGTCATTCCTCGGACTGTTAACGAGTTGGCGTTTTAGGGATTTGCGCGCTTTGTCGTACTTCGAATGCGAATCAATGACTTTGCGAGCGTCCCACAAGGCGACCAAGGTCGGAGAGATACATCTTTTTCTATTTGATCATTCGCCAGAATTTTTCGTTAATTTGATTGATGTTTGGATCGCCAGTGTTCACTGAGTCCACCAGCTGACGGTTAAGTCGAGAGGCGATCAGATATTTCCGATTCGAAGGCAGATTTGCAACCGTTGCTAACATTGTGTCGTGTGCATTCGTTTTCGGTGGCTTCTGGGCGGTTATCTACTAGGCGTAGGGAGAATCTCGCTCGTAGCAGAATATGGTCCGTGCCCACGGGTAGTGACCAGTATGAGGGGAAATCCTCAATGGATCCACGCCAGCATTGGTTGATGGCGATGTGGTCGATTTGAGTCCAACGCTAAGAAGCGGTTGGCGGTTTCCATGTAAGGCGGTGTCGTTTCTTGTGCGAGAAGTTGGTGCTTGACGGAAACAGTCCTTGTTCAGTGCAAAGTTGGAGTAGGAGTTCTCCGTTGTCAGTCCGGTTAGCTGGGATTGTATGTGGACCACCAAGTAGCCTTTCTGATTCTTTCAGGGATCCCACCGGAGCATTGAAGTCTCCAGCGACTACCACGGTTTCCTTTGACCGAGCACTTTGGAGCAGTTCAGAGAGGCCCTTGTGGAATTCATCCTTTATTTCTGGCGAACTGCAATCATACACACATACACGCATACGGCAAATAAGCATCGATGCTTCGTTCTGTAGCTGTTGATCCGTACTGAACCATCCAGACGTACATCGCAAAGTTGGCTCCTAACCGGGATCCAGTCAAGAAGTGAGCTCTCGGTCTTGGCAATTTGCTTAATCCCAAAACCAGCAACACCGCGAGCTTCGGATGCCGAATCACCTGACACGCGATGAGTGAAGCCCTAGTGTGAGGTTGGGTTAGGAGAACACAGGTAGATGTTTGAAATAGGATCCTGTATGGGTTTTGTGGAAACAGCCTACATCTAAATGGAAGGTTTCAGTGGTTCCAGCTAAGGCAGCTTGTTAACCGATCTGGTAGAATATGGTTCACAGCTTACTTCGCAGTAGCCCACATCGATGGAGACGTCTTTTTGAGTACCCTAACCGGGGCCTTCGACGCAAAAGTCTGACTTACAAGGCAGTTGGGTGTAGATCCAAAGCGAGAGGGTGAACGAAGCACCTGTGCGGGATCTCCTGGAGACTTATCCCAACGTCGAGAGGACGCCCCGGTAACCCGCTCTTACGTCCATCTAGCGGGGTTTTCTGTCGTCCACTGTACTTCCACTCCAAGTGTTTTTTTGTGTGCTGGAGTGGATAGTTAAATGAAATATATACATATAGATATATATATATATAATATTACATTCGAACGTGCATCTGTAATGTGACGTGAGCATATGTTATTGAAGAACAAATTTCTTTAGATTATCAAACTTGGATTTCTTTCATTTGAGCATTTTTTTACTGGGTTCGAATGTCCGCTTGTGAAAGCCGATAACATGCCTAGCCGCCAATTATTAAGTAGTCAGTGTTAACAAACGAGTGTGTTCAATTTAATCATTAGAAAAGGGTATACTATCAATAATTTTGTTAGGGATTCGATCACTGTTTATTGTCTTTGACTTGCTAATCCATGACATTTGGTAAAAGGTTTGCTCAGTTGTGAATTTATCGTTTTCCAATCATGAATTTTCACATTTTTTTGCAGAACACAACATGAAAAATGATTAGCAATTCTTTGATTTTGATATCATTCGTTTTTTAAATGAACCGATCACTCAAAACTTTGCATGTTTCCAAGAACGCCATTTACCAAGTTTGCAGTGAAAATTTTTCGGGCTGCAGCAAACAGCGATTCCGAACTATAGCATTATTTTTTAAACTTTATTTGGAATATCATCGTATGTCTTCATCGTTCTCATGCTATTGCTAAATCATTCAATTTTTTGTAGTAATTGTTCGTTTTCATTCCTTTGTACGTTTGAACAGATGTTTTTTTTTGTCATTTTATAAATTACAGTCCCATTATCTCTTGAAAACACGTGTTTTAAAGATGTGACGGCTGAATGGGGATTGATTACCGCATAATATATCAGACTAGGTTCATGTATTTCTTCATTGTCCATGAAACTGGGATGTGGAACAGAATAGCATATTCCGCTTTCATTTGTTGAAGATATGTTCTGGTTCTTGCCCAACCACCACATCCCATGCTCGTATCACGATGCTTTACCTTGAACATACCAAGATGAACGTTCCATAAATGTTTTTTTTCGAAACCAGGAAGTTTTGCGATTTTTCTATCTTCTATTTAGCTTATAATTAACAATATGACTTCCACAATTGATCGTTGATTGATAGGTTTGTGGTGTACGACAGATTAATAATTGAATATATAACAACAGCTAGGACGTAATGAGTAACTATTGTAAGGAAAACAACGCCAATTGCGAGCACCAAATTCAAAACGTGAAACGTGGAGTCGTTCGTAACGAGTGCATCGAAATCACCACCTCTTTCTTCATTGATGATATGTAATTATGTGTGGTCCTGATAAAATCCACGAATGAAAGAATCGCCGCTGGAAGAAGCGACGCGGCGNAACCAGGAAGTTTTGCGATTTTTCTATCTTCTATTTAGCTTATAATTAACAATATGACTTCCACAATTGATCGTTGATTGACAGGTTTGTGGTGTACGACTGGTTTGATCTTGCACCCAGCCTCACTCTAACTGGGGAAGTATTAGAGCAGGTGGATAAGGTTTATTATTTTGGCAGCTACATCTCACCCGGTGGACGCATCACGGATGAAGTGTCAGCTTGCATACAGAAGGCTCGGTTGGCATTTGCGAACTTGAGACATTTGTGGAGCTGTCGCTTTCCGTGAAGGGTCGAGTTTATGCTTCAGCAGTTCGGCCGGCCCTGGTATACAGTTCAGAGACTTGATCATGACGGGAACAGGATGAAAATATACTGTCGACGTTCAAGTACCGCTGTCTTTGTAGTACTTTGTGAATCTGG